TCCAACCATTCCCAGCACTGCCAAGGCCACCACTGGATGTTTTTCTTTAATGAGGGGACAGGTATTTTAAGTATGGTATGTAATAACAAAGGTTGGGTAGGGACAGGTGACATTAAAGTGGGGGTCTGCTACAGGCCACCTGACCAGGAAGACTGAGCAGTTGAGGCCCTCTATAGACAGAGAGGAGCAGCCTCATGTTCACAAGCCCTGGTCCTCTAGGAGGGACAACACACCAGCAATAAGAAATCCAGGAGGTTCCTAGAATGTGTTGATGGTAAATGCCTTCTCCAAGGGATAGAGGAGCCACTGAGAGGAGTGGTTTTGCTGGACCTTGTTCTCACCAACAAGGAGGGATTGGTGGGGAATGAGAGGCTCAACGTGTCTTCAGGCAATTGGGAGTAGGTAGTAGCAGGAAATAATGGAGAAAGATCCCTTTCTTATGATGAGCAGTTAGGAAGGGAAATGCCAGAACGCTTTCACCCTTATTAACAAGAGTTCTTGCCTGGTGGAGAACTGTTCTTAAGGATATAGAAATAAAGGTAATGTAACTTTTATTAAATAAAAATACATTTAATAATAAATAAAAATTAACTCTCAAAAGATGCTTAATTTTGCAGGTGTCAGTGCTGTTGGGCACTGCTGTTGTGCTAAAGACTGGATTGAGGCTTTTTCAGAGTTATAGTGAACATCTAAATCTCTTTTGATGTCTGCAAAATGGAGGGGTAGAGTCCTGGGTACTTTGAGCTCTACTGATTGTTAAGCTCTGCTGTGAGAGTAGTCGTAAACCAGAAGAATTCCTGAACTCCTTATTGGTGCTGTTGCATGGAACAAAAATGACTTTCACATTATTTGTGCCATAGTGCTTTCCCCTTTCTGCAGGTGTATGAATGTGTGATTCTCAGCCCGCACTGATGAACATTTCTGTGTTTTGTTCTGTTTGTGTTTTATCCAGGAGCAGAGGACTCTTGTCATGGGGGTCTGAAACTCCTTGGCAGGCTGGCACTTCTAACAGAGAAGGATCTTTGGACTGTTAATGGTCTCCCCAATGAAAGTAACTCTTCTGACCACCTGCCATTGTTAGCAGAGTTCAGGCTTATTGAACGGTAATACCCAAAGAAGTTTTTGTGTAGATAAACCTACCTTCACCTTCTCACTTCCTGTGATGAGTATTGTCTTTTGGAAGGTTAATTCAGGCGCTGCTGGTCCGGTTTCAGTAAGTGTTCCTGCATGCTGAGGTGTCAGTGCTGTGTAAAGTAGAGTTTTTAAAAAGACTTTTTTTTAAAGGTTGCAATTACTTTATGAAGCCGTTAAGGCCAAAATAAAAGGTTTCTACATTTGCTTCCTCTTTGATAACGGAAAACATCTGTGCCAGCCTCCAAGTGGCATTATTTTTCACAGAGATGCTGTAAATGGTTTTTATTGTAAATCGTAGTAAAAATGATTATTCTGAGAACCGTGTGCTGCTTCATTGAACCATGGAATGCTTTGGGTTGGAAAGGACCTTAAGATCATCCAGTTCCAACCCCCAAGCAAGGGGGAGTGGGGTTGTGTGCACACCCTAAGGAGCAGAAAATCATGTTTTACTACAACAATGCTCTGCAGACACTCTTACCTAAATACTTCTGCAAAGGAATCCACTTAGACTGTAGTCAGGCCAGAAGCTGGAAGATTACACCTCCAAAGGACAAAGACAGCTTTGCAGTAAGGCAAAGTTTTAAAGTTTACTTCTTAAACTTCTAAAAACTGAACTATGGGTAGCATTCCCTGGCATCTTTTTTAAAACACCTGAAATAAACCCCAGTTCAATGAGCATGGAACCTAACAGTAAACTGATCTACTGTAGGAACAAAACACTACTGAACAACCTGAGGGAGTTTGGTTTTCCACTGAGTTATTAAAAAGGGCAAGTTGTATATTAAAATGACAGATCCTGAGGTACTAAATGATCAAGATTTGTATTTACTCTCACAGTGCACTGACAAACATACCACTTACAAAAGTAAAAGACTGCCCAAACAGTAAACGTGAAGGAAACAAGTCAAACTACATCTGGGTATGTACGAAAACTGCCTTAAAAGTAACATTTGGACATTCGTCTTTCAGTGTAGTGGTGGAAAACCCGCACCCATGTTCCCGAGGTCACATTCAGATGTGTTTGGCTCCTAGAAACATTTCTTTGTTCTTCTCCAACCTAATTCTTGGAATTTTCATCTGCAAAGTTTCCTTTTCCTGACTGCAGAATTACAACTGCACTTACTTTGTGCTTTGAGAACAGTGCAGAAGTACAGTGGTTGTAATCACAAAACCAGTTGAATTGAAGAAGTACTTCAGTGTTCCATTACAAAATATGATTACTTACCACAATATTCAGCTGTGGTTGCTGAGAATTTGGATGGGGGGTATTTTTCTCATAAGTAAGTGGGAATAATTCCTCCGCTTGGGATGACTGCTTATTCAATATTGGCTGCTGCTTGATTTAAATACGAGTATTCTCAAAGCTGGAGCTGATAAATGCAAACATACTTGAATAAACACAACAGATTTCTGGATATGCACAGGTTACAGCTAAAAAAAGCTGTTGTAGCAACTCTTGTAGCCTACACTAAGAGCAAGGAGCTTTGCTAGTCTGGGGGACTGCTGTGTGATCTCCACAGCAGACAAATATGAGCTCTCCTATGTCTGCACCGTTGCCAGCACACAGGCAGCTGAACAGGGGAAGGCAGGTAATAGAAAAGTGCTGCTCTTTGGAATAAGCCTTGTCACTCCTTCAGTCTAGAAATAACAACTAGTTTTTCTGGAATAGAAACATAACAGGACAAAAATTCACCCGGAGTCTTGAAAAGAAAAAACCCCTCCAACTACCATGATCCTTTTATTGAAGTTTCATGCTGTGCATAAACATACAAGTGATGTAAAAAAAACCCAACCCAGAAGTCATGCATGTTTTCTACATTATTTGACCACTTTGCAGTCACTAGAACCACACTTAAGACAAATGCCATCATCGTGAAGAGTATTTCAGCTGAACTGCAAAACAAGAACCAAAAGCAATTTGTCACACGCCTCTACAGCATTAAAAAGTTGCAGTGTCAAGTTAGAGGTTAAAAGAAAATAACTCAAGTGTGGTGGACAGTGGTAAAAACTGTACACAACCACCACTACTTGAGCTGAAGTAAACCATGGTTTCATAGAAAAAGCTTGCAACATATCAGGTAACTTTGTGCTATAGGCTACAGCTGATCAAAGTCAGTTTTCACATCATTTTACCCAAGGGATACATGAAAAAACCTTGTTTAGGTCACAAGATACTGAACAGCACAAAGTTTAAAACTGAAACGCTGCCGCTGGTGTCAAATTGTACAAGGATTTCTACCAGGAGAGTATTTCCCTCTTTTCAACTTTGCTCCTGAACCACAAAAATCCCTCTGGTGAACACAGGAGTGGAAAAGTTGACAGAAGGAGGAATGGGAAAGGCCTCCCTGTAATTGATATGGTAATTTGTGTAAGGAAGTGTACGTAATACTGCAGACAAGTCTTTCTAGACTTTCTGCAGGCTCATTAGAGAAAGCCTTCCCCTGTTTGCAGAAGGTTCCTGGCTCTTGGTATTGTCTTCCTGCCCTACATAGGGAAGATTCATTGACTTTTTTGAGCAATGAGGTCTGTGTACAAGCAATCATCTGTATTCGTTCAGTTGCTGGCTGACAGAAGTGTCCTAGGAGCTTAAATCCTTCAGTTTGAGTAAGCATTACTGTCACTGTCTTACAATGTCTTGCCTTCATCGAGATCCCAAAAAAGTCAGTGCGCAGGAGGGGAAGTACACAAGGCCCATGGCAGTGTCATCTACAAGCACAGCACAAAGGGTAAAGGCTGGACTTGTACAATAATCCAGTTTCTATTTAGGCACCTAATGAAATAGTTTCAGGAATGCAGCACTCACCAGAGAACTTCGCTAATGGAATGGCAGCCCCCAGTGAAGTCTGACCGCGTCACTTGAGAAGGCTGGTGTCCCTCACAGGTCCTCAGCTAAGTCTTACAACGAAAGGACTTGAGTAGGGAGGAAGCAGACGAGCTTGGTTTTCAGCCGTTTCAGCCATTAAAGCTTCCTTATTTAGGTCTAAGCTGTTGTTACTACAGCACATACAGGAAAAGCTCCCTACCTTAGCACGGCAGAAGGTTAACTTCAGCCTGCAATGTCTGATCTTAATATAAGATGTCAAGGCATCACCATCTGAGACTGCTCAGCCTTTCAAAGACAAGGTTCAAAGCTACACCAACTGCTGAAAGGAAAGCACGTGGGCTCAGGTTAGCGTTATTCCAGGAACATAAACAAGAAACAGACTGACTGAGAGGTGAACACTTGTCCCTACACAACAGCAATCTCTATGTTTTGTGCTTCAGCAGCGTAGTCCAGAAAGACTAAAAGCTTGTGACAAAGTATAAAAAAATTATGAAAGTTTAAAAATTCATTATTCAGTTATCACCAGTTAAAAACCCAAACCCTCCTATCTTGCCTAATAAGATGTCAGTGTTTAAGAATACACCTGCATATTACTATTACTTAACATCTTTCAGCAACATGCACAAAATAATAATACAGGTGGCAGTAAAACATCCGGTGCTGGTTTAATACTACCAGAAATGCTGGGAAACAGTACAAATCAGTTACAAAACAACAATACTGACAGTTTTGCATATCTATTAAGTTCAGTGAGGTAATTTCGATACTTTAAAAACTCATGCCACTTCTGCACTGCTTGTTTTTATTGCTGAATTAAACATTAATACTGAATAGGATTTGTTGTAACTGCACTGCACCCCAGCACATCTTAACACTAAGAATATTGGTTTCTTAGTTTTCCCATTGCTACTACCCAGCAAAATGCCCAAATTCAATTAATACTTGTACAGGCAAATTGTATTTGAAGAAACTCTCACACTACTGGAGTCATCTGCTACATGATGAAGGGGAAAAAAGGTCATATCCTGGCAAACCTCATTTTAGGTTCCTCTGCACTGATGCCTTTTCTATAAACTGAAATAAAATAAATACTGCCACCAAAACCAAACTCCCCCCATTCTATTTTCTAAGTAAAACTTTCACCACAGGAGTCCACAAGTTACTGAATTGTCCCATTCCTTTTTCCTTCCAACGGAGCGCAGGTAAAGTGCAGCGGGAAGCACCAGGAAGCCCTCTGTCCGGCATATGGCTTTGTTAGATGCGGAGCTGGTAGCCGACCTCGTTGAGCGTAGCCAGGTCTCCTTTCTTGTCCACCACTGCAGGCCTGCGAGCAAAGGAGGGAAGGGGGTTCTGCTCACCAGTGATCCCACACGGCCGTGCAGAAGCACAGAGGGCAGTGGGCACCCCTGACTTCAAAACAGGGCTGACTAGATCCACTTTGCTCATCGTGAGCACGGTCCTGCTCAATCTGCCACGTGAACTAGTGTGACTGAGCTACTTGTGTGGGTTTTCCATGAAGCCAAGCACCAGTGAGGAACAAGCTGTCCCATCTTGGGGTCCTGGGAGCACCCCTCTCCTTCCCAGTTGAGAGAGGGCCTAAATGAGCAGTTAAGACCAGACACATCCTGCCCAGGATCTACCCCAGAGCAGGACTCTGGGGCTTTTAAAATGAAGTGGAAGCAGCCGAGAGCAAACAGGCAAAGCCTCTCGCATGGCCACAGCGTGTTGGTGCTCTGAATCTACCCTTTCCTCTGGGCTAGGTCCATGTGAAGGGCTGCAGCCCACCAAACAGAATCACGGAACAGTTTGGGTTGGAAGGGACCTGCAAAGCTCATCGAGTTCCAACCCCCTGCAATGAGCAGGGAGGTCTTCAATTCAATCAGGTTGCCCCGAA